TGTCTTCTCCCCCCTTCTCTCCCCCCCTCCTCCTCCTCCTCCTGATCTCAGAACTTCCGGTTTATTTCGGCAAGTGTTAAGGTCTGCATTTCTAAGTTCAATTTGGTTTCGCTGTTGGATCCAAACAAAACGAAAAAGATATAGTCTTGATTTGACCTCCATGCTGTTTGTGTTCCCTCGCGACAAGTCTATTAGGATCAGATATCGCGGAGGCTCTCTCGTGAACGTGGATATTAGAATAAGCTCGATTTTTTTTTTTTTTTTTTGAGGCAGAGTTTTAGAAAACGTATCATACGCTCACAAGCACACAAACACACAGAGTCAGAGTCACACTTACACACACGCACACACACACAACACACAAACACACACACACACACACACACACACACACACACACACACACAGACACAGTCACACACACAAACAAACACACACACACACACACACACAGAGTCACAGTCACACACACAAACAAACAAACACACACACACAGTCACAGTCATACACACACACACAGAGTCACAGTCACATACACAAACAAACAAACACACACACACACACACACACACACACAGAGTCACAGTCACACACACAAACAAACAAACACACACACACACACAGAGTCACAGTCACACACACAAACAACACACACACACACAGAGTCACAGTCATACACACACACACGGAGTCACAGTCACACACACACATGAAAATAGAAATCAGCAAGACGAAGGTAAACGGACGCTCGCAGACAACAGAAGTGCTCTATCTCCCTTACGCACGGAACGCCCCCCCCCCCCCCCCCACCGTCTATCTGCTTAGGGAGGCTGAGCGCAGAGGCGGCGGCGGGAAGAACCGAATCCCAGAACGGCGTCGGAATCGGTCTTCGCTGCTACTCCGGTGTCGCTGCGTCTTGGAATGGCGACGAATGGGCGAAAGGCAGACAGGGCGAGAGATAGAAAGTCGCGATTCAAGGAGCTTCGTTTTTTTAATTCTTCTTCTTCTTCTTCTTCGGTTTTCTTGTCTTTTGGAGTATTTTAGGCGCCTGATGGAAGGGTATTCCCGTGTGTCTGTGCTCACACCCTCTCTCTCTTTCTTCTCTTTCTCTCTCTCTGATATATATGTGAATATCTGTGTATATATATGCTTATATTTATATTCATACACACATTCATATGTATGTGCATTTATGTATGTCTTTGTGTGTATGTGCGTATACATATACTTGCGGACGTGTTGCATTTCTCGCCAGTCATTTTCCTAAGAGTTCTAGAGAGTAGCCTGACCTGCCGTTCTTACGCGAGCCGTGGCATGCGTGCGGGGCGATCGAAACGTCTCTCTGTGTTAAAGCGTGATGTCTGGCATGTGCGCGCGCGCACACACTCACACACACACATGTATGTGTGTGTGTGCATATATATATAATATATATATATATATATATATATATATATATATATATATATATATAGTGTGTGTGTGTGTGTGTGTGTGTGTGTGTGTGTGTGTGTGTGTGTGTATGTATGTATGTATATGTATATATACATTCATATATATACACACATTCCGATACTGTGCAATGCCATAATTGCTCGAATCAAAAAAAAACAAACGGCAATAAAGGAAAAAGCGGAGACTCCCCGCGAGAGATAACGACCGCGAACAAGGAGCCTTTGGGAGCCTCGCCGCGCTGCCCTGAGGACGAGGCTCGCAATCTCCCAGATGTGAAAGCAGTTGGCGCGCGTGCGGCGGGGGGGGGGGGGGCGATGGGCAGCGAGATAGGGCCGGCCGAGGCAGCAGGACGCGGCCGTGTGCATGGCGTGCTTACAGGAATGTTTGTGAATGCATGTAGGAATGTATGCTTGCAAGAACGTATGTGGGTGTATGAATATGCGCGCGCGTGCGTGTTTATATACACACACACACAGATATATATATATATATATATATATATATATATATATATATATATATATAATACTAAAAAAAATAGTAGATAGATGGAGGCTCAAAGTGATGGAGAGAGAGAGAGAGAGAGAGAGAGAGAGAGAGAGAGAGAGAGAGAGAGAGAGAGAGACGAGAGAAGAGAGAGACAGAGAGAGAGAGGAGACAGAGAGAGAGACAGAGACAGAGACAGAGACAGAAAGAAAGAAAGAAAGCAAGAAAGAAAAAAGAAAGAGAGAGAGAGGAGCCGAAAACAAGGAAGTGCGGAAACGAGTGTTCTACTGAGAGGCAGAACACACACCCCGACCCTCGACCTTTTTGACGTCCCAGGCAGTGCCTCACTAGTGCTTTGCCTTTCATTATCTTTTCCATAGTGAACGTAAAACATTAATAAAGTAAAATTAGCGAAAACCAACGAAAGAGTGCAAGGAAAGGCGACTCTAAAGTGCAGGTACCTTGTATATGTACAATTGAGAATACATGAATTTATAAAATGGAAGGACTGCTACTGGACGCAAACTTAATTACACGCATAACGACAAACACGGAAGAACTGCAAATAGATGAAAGGAATTAAATAATAACACAAAAGCTACAATAGTTCCTTTGATATCAAAATATTAATGCAAAAGATGACGCAGGAACGAACAACAGAAGAAGACTAGATCCAACTCAATCTATCGAACGAAATACAGATACGAAAGTGCGACCATCAACATTGAAAAAGACAAACAAACAAACATAAGAGTAAACAAAAAGGAGCAAATGGAAATAAACAAAACGGAGAGAGAAGAACGAGTAAAAAAATGTATTTCAAATGGAAGGCCAAACACACTCGAGCTCAGTGTCCTCATAGACGCTCCCGTGCATAACGACCGCAGCGCTTGACAGATCGATGTCTTGGTATAGAAAATTCATCACCCAGCGTGCGTGTAGGAAGGTCACGGGGTCACCTGGGGTCGCGTGGGGTCCCCCCTGCTTACGCCCCGGTTTCTCAGGTTCAGATATCCCGCGAACCTCCCCTGCGGACTCTCAAGAGGAAAGAGTAATCAACAACTCATTCTTCTTGTTTGTTCTTGGTACGACCCCTTATTTACGCGAACCCGAAGCCCATATGGGTCTTCATTACCCGAACGACTCCCGCGATGCCCTGTGACCTGCCTTATTTCCCCTCTGCTTTCTTCTTCCCCTTCTTCCTCTTGCTTTACCCTTCTCTTTCCTCTTCTCATTTCTTCTTTATGCTTCTCTTTCGTCCTTCCCCTCTCGTTTCTTTCTCATCCTCTGTCTTCCTTCCTCGTCCTCTCTTTTTTTCTTCATCCTCTATTTCTCCCTCCTCTTTTCCTCTCTTCATTCTCCTCTTTACCCCCTCTCTTTCTCACCCTTTCCCTCCTTCCCTGCACCTCTCCCTTCGAAATCCTCCGTGAACCCGAGAGGGGGAAGGGGAAAGAGAGCCAAGGATGAGGAAATCAAGCAATCATCCTTACCAGGTAGTAAACACACACCCCGTATAGCTTCCCCCACCCCTTTATTGCGAGGATAAATGGATTTTCCTTCGCCTCGCCACTAACGAGAACTGTGCCGTCAATCGTGAGTATTATTGTTAACAAATCTTGACTTTTGTCTCATGCCTGAACCTCTTTCGGTATTTCTTCAACCTGTTTCTTTGTCTTTCGTCCCCTTCTCCACTCACGCTTACCTCAACTCAGTTCGGATAAGCTGAGTATGTCTGCATGTCGGTGAACTTTGCAGAGCGAATGCATAATTGATTAAACAAACTTAATAAACATGTCACTGGCTCTTGCGTGATTAATGCTAGAACTTACAATGGAGCAAAGACTGCACTGAGGAAACATATTAACAGCCGGGATATGCGCCAGAAATAGGGTTTAGCATTTTCTACCTGTTCTCTCTCTCTCTCTCTCTCTCTCTCTCTCTCTCTCTCTCTCTCTCTCTCTCTCTCTCTCTCTCTCTCTCTCTCTCTCTCTCTCTTCTCTTTCTCCCTCTCTCTCATTCTTCGTTCTTCCTCTCTTCCGTCTTCGTAGTTCTTTTCTCATTTGTAATATACATAACACGAATGTAATTAATGCCCGCGTGCCGTGACGTGTTTCGACGTCTGATAACAGGTCATGGAAAAGGAGACTGAATAATTCTTACTTCAGTCTTGTTCTCCGAAGGCAGTACTTAATTAAAAGAGCTATCGAACGTCACGTGAAAATTCCCGAGCGCTATTATTTATAGTGAACGACACATCAATATATCGACCTCCAGAATGAATTATGTCAGAGCGCCTTTCTCTACGTCATCCTCACGGGTACTAGTTAGCACATGCTCGAGGAGACAAAGTTATCGTTAAGGTAGGAGGGAGGGAGGGAAAGGAGGTAAGGAGGGGAGGAGGAAGAGGTAGGGGGGAGGAGGAAGAGGTAGGGGGAGGAGGGAAGGGGAGAGGAAGAGGTAGGGGGAAGGAGAGGGTAGGAGGGAGGAGGAAGAGAGAGGGGAGGGAAGGGTAGGAGGAAGGCGTAAGAGGGAGGAGAAAGGGGTAAGGAGGAAGAAAAAGGGGGGAAGGAAGGGGGAGGAAGGGTTAGGAAGAAAGAGGAGGGACCTGGGGAGGAGGGGGGGAAGGAAAGGCGAAGCGAGACCCCACCGAGGGAAGGCGAATGTTGAACTCCTCGGTTCGTTGAGTGTGACGGAACTCGCATGTCATTATCGTCTTTTTCCTTTTCTTGATAAACGCTGAGGCTTTCCGGCGTCGAGTTGCTGACCGTGTGACACCTGCCTCGATAATGGACAGGGTTCGTGTGGGGGAAATTTTGAAGCATTATTTATGCCAACTATACTTACTGTATACAAGTACATGTATGCATACTTATATAAACATAAACACTGACATAGACATAAACATAGAAATAGGTTCAGACAGAGACAGAAACAGAGAGACGCACATACGTACACAAACACGGAAAAATAATCTTTTAGCTCCCTTAGCTTTATTAGTTTTTTATAATAGTGAATTTAAGAAACCCCATTAAGCCTGCATTTTCTTTTATTTCAGATACAGCATGATTGGCAGCTGATCCTAAGCATGGATTGGCTGTACTTCACCACCCTCCTGGCGGCGTGGACGGCGGGGGGAAGCAGCTTGACCAGAGCCCAGGAGGTGTCTAGAACCGCGTGCCCTAGCTGGGAGGACAATCCGTGGTGCCCGTGTTACCATTTCGACGATGGGGTTTTCCTCGAGTGTCCTATGGTGTCTCTCAATAAAGTGTCCAGAGTCCTCGGTCTTGTTCAACGAGCTGTTAAATCCCTCAGCATATATGACTTAGACGCGAATGTAACAAAACTTCCACCAGGACTTTTTACATCCAGTGCCGGCGTTTCCAGCCTGCAAATATCCCACTCCGGTCTGCAGACCATCTCAGACGGCAGCTTTCAGGGGCTGGAAAACACTCTGGAAAGCCTAACAATCATGCACAGTCAACTCACAGCTGTGCCCCAGGCAGCTCTGCAGACGCTCACAAGATTGAGGGCACTGGACCTTGAGGCCAACAACATAACAGAACTTCAAAGTTTTAGTTTTTTCAAGTTGAAGTTGGTAAGTCTCAACCTCAAAGGAAATGGCATTAAGCTGATATCAGAGTATGCATTCGATGGACTCCATGAAACTCTGGAGGAGTTAAATCTTATGAACAACAAACTCAAACAACTCCCGATTCCAGCACTAAGACGCCTGAGTAAGCTCAGAACTTTAAAAGCAACCTGGAATCGCATATCCGATGTAATCAACGATGGATACTCTCGGCTCCCCGCACTTGAAGTGCTTGATCTCAGCAGCAACCACTTCACACAGTTGACAAGTTCCACCTTAGGCACGATGCCCGTTCTTCTCTCGCTTTCCATGTATATGAACGAGATTTCGCTTTTGTCAGGCGATGCCTTCGTTCAGAACACGAGGCTACAGACGCTTTATCTGAGCCACAATGATATCACTAATGTGGAGCCGGAGACCTTCACATACACCATCTACATCAGAGTCATTGATCTCGGCGACAACCATCTCCACTCCATCAGCAATGGAATGTTCAGGAACCTCCCAGAAATTCAGGAAATATTCCTCAACAACAATAATATTTTGAAAATTAAAAATGACACTTTTACAAATTCCACAAAGATCACGGTGTTATATCTTCAAAACAACGAAATTCACTCTATTGAAAGTGGAGCCTTTGCTAATCTGGAACTCTTATTTGACCTCCAGCTCAGTTCAAACAATTTGGTGCAGATTCCTGTGGGATTGTTCAGCACGACAAGAAGCTTAAGCTCATTAAGTCTGGACAACAACAGGCTCACGAGCTTGAACAAAGGCACATTTGCACATCTTGCTGAGCTTCGGGAGCTTCGGCTGCAGAACAACAGACTTACCAGAATAGAACGTGGAGTCTTTTTACCGCTGCCAAACCTTCTTGAATTACACCTCCAGAACAACAGAATAAAGTTTATTGAAAAAGAAGCATTTTCAATGTTACAAAATCTTCAACACTTGAACTTAGAGGGAAATAAATTGACTGAACTTCCTGATTCTCTTAGTCGGTACCCTGCAAATTTGATAACCTTGAAATTATCGAGAAATGAGATCAATACAATACACTCTGATGCATTTAGGGGCCAAAATAAACTTGAGATTTTTTGGCTAAATGATAATAATGTTACCAACATTACAAAGGGCATGTTAAGTGACCTGTCATCATTAAGGGAACTTTACCTCGAAAACAATCAAATTAGGCGCATAGAAGACAAATCATTTGAGACCATGAAGAAACTGAAGCAGCTTTCGTTGTCTAACAATGAACTGCAACACGTCAGCTCCTTGCTCTTTGAAGGACTGACAATGCTCGAGAGACTTAACATGGACGATAATGAGATCATGGACATCGAACCACAGACATTCCAGAAGTTGCCAAACTTGACCACTCTAGACCTCTCCAACAACCAGATCTTCGTGATAAGGCGTTACATGTTTGAGGGTTCGATACCTCTCAGGACACTCAATCTGAAAGGGTCAATGATTAACGAGATTGATCCTGATGCGTTTGCGGATCTCAGGTTCTTGGAGGAGCTGAACCTGAAGAAAAACATGCTTGTCAGTCTGCACAAACTCTATTTCAGAACACCGAGTATTAGGAACCTAAACTTGGCCGACAATCATTTCGATACGGTGGCTGAGGACTCCTTGTACGATCTGCCTAATCTAGACACTTTGGATCTAAGTGGATGCAGGTTGGAGAACCTTCCAGCTCATTTGCTGGCTGAAGCATCTGAGCTGAGGACTCTCAATCTGGCGAGAAACAGTTTTAGGTTTTTAACAGCAGCACTTTTCCAGAAAATGCGTAGATTAAGGGAAGTAGACCTTTCATACAACAACTTAACAAATCAGGTTATGACTTCGCTTGAAGGGTTAAGGAAACTGGAGCTTTTAACCCTGAATGGAAATCCACTTTCTTCTCTGAGTGGATCTCTGAATGACTTAACTGGCCTAAGGGAACTTTACCTGTCTAAAACAAATTTGAGATCAATGGATAATACTGTTTTCTCCAAACTGAAGAATCTAAAGGAATTAGATCTATCAGAAAATCAACTCTCAGATTTACCCCCTGGTGTGTTCGCTAATCTGAGCATCACGAGGCTTAACCTAGCAGACAATATTTTCAGCCAGATTCCCAACGCCATGTTCCTAGATGGCATGGCTTCCCTCAGGACTCTCAACATGTCTGGCAACCCGATGAAGCGAGTTACGGGAATCCTGGTGGCGGGGGGACCTCCGCTCGCAGCCCTGGAGGAACTAGAGGCCTCGAGGACTAACCTTACAGTGTTGACGAGCCATGACCTCCTTCTGACCCCTTCCCTGCGCTCCCTCAACCTCGGACAAGCCTCAATTGCAAAGATCTCCCCAGGATGCTTCAGGAACCTCACGCAACTTACTCATCTCAACTTGGGCTTCAACCACCTGGAAATCCTGCCCCGCGAGAGGCTCAGGGGACTCAAGAGTCTCTCTCACCTCAACCTTACAGGAAATAGTCTCAAGAAGTTGGATCAGCTTCCTTCAGACTCGCATATGTTGAAGGCAAGTATCTTATGGGTTTTAAGTTTTTAGCACTGACTAATTTGTTAGTATTCACTTTCTTTCCCTTACTTACATTTGTTATGTCTCTTTCGTCACCTTGGAGACTAGGAACAGAAATGGAAAGACACTGTTCTGAAAGTGGCATGAGGAAATGTTTTTCACCACATAATATAGCTAGATGGAAGCATGCCGATGGTACTTCACAGTTACTGAGTTTGCACACTGGATACAGAAGTAATAATTCTTCTGGTAGAGTGTAGAAAAGATGAAATTTCAGTGAGATGAAACAACGGTTGATATAAATGAAAGTAAAAGAAAAAATCATACCGGTTGGAAATGTTTTCACTTATGTAGGTAGAGGATGTGATGCTCTATCTATTCTGTTATTCAGAGTAAAACTGAATATAATAGTATAATATAATATAATAATAATAAATAATAATTATTATTATTGTTATTATTATAATAATAATAATAATTATAATAATAAAATGATAATAAAATAATAAAAAAAATAATAACAGTAATTATAGTGATTATAATAAAAAAAATGATATAATAATAAATGATATAATAATAATAACCATTGTAGTAGAAGTAGTAACTAGCGCAGTATGTGGTAGAAGTGATGAATAAAAGGATGGTGATAATAGTGGTTGGATGATGAGGAAAAATCAATGATGATATTACCAAAAATAAGAAAATAGAGTGGAAAAGAAAAATTCTTAATTACATTTCCGGAAAGTTCAAAAGATGTTACGGAAGTTAGTGAGAGCTAATAATATGACGAACGACAGTAGATAAGATCTCCTTTTTAGTACAGTGAGGGTAAGTATATGTATTACCATTCTGTATGTAAGGTAAATATCTATGTCCTATTTGCATGGAGTTCCTGCACAACATCGGGCATCCCTGAATGGGGCTCCTCTTATAAAAGGATGCCTTCACACCAAGCCTTTCAGTAACCTCCAACACAGGACCGACACTTCGAATGGGTAGGCAGACCAGGGTAGTGTTAAGACCATTAAACTGTTTTATGTTAAGCCATCAACGGTCCTCTAGTTGCTTTTGGCTCGCCGTCAGAACCCTTCGACTTGATCCTGACAGTAATTTGTCCACTGCCTTGTCTTGCTCTCTGATGAAAAGATTAAGGTACGTTAAGAGTGCATCCGGACGTCTTGTAGTTTGGTCATTACAAATAGCTTTGCATTTTTTGCATTTTCCTCCCCCTTTCGTGCAATAAGCCTCACAGTTTCCATTTCATATTTTGGTATAGTAGTTCTTATTTTGGTTCCCCATTTTTTTTTTCGGGGACGAGTAGTCTGCACAATTTTTTTTCCTCCTGATTTTCTCCATTGTCAGCATTGCAGCATTAGAGTTCTATTGGTATGATACATTAGACCCCATATGATAGCTTAGCAGTTCGACCTTCTCGTATGGCCTTAGAGCGGGCCTTGGCACTGTATGATTAAGGGTCTGTATGTCACACCAGCTTGTCCTTTATGTTCATCACCAGGATCGTAACATTTGCTTAGCTGTTGCTGGCACATAGATCACCAGCTGCACCACAAGACCCGTAGGTTGTTTTGTTAGCTTGTTTACCGAACGCGCCCTACTGTAGGATGAACTGGGATATTTGCTTATTTACTTACTTGGAATAACTAACTTTTGTAAAAGACGGAAGGGAACGATTGGACTGGTCTTTGAAACGCCAATTTTGTTGCCATTTTTTCTCCTTTTGAGGGGTGTTGTACCCAATTTTAGTTATGATATTTTGCTTCGTCTTGTTTGGCTATGGTAAGGCGAAGCTACTTTAATGGTTGATATATTTCCCAAATGCTTAATGCCGAATGAATTTAATTAACAGTCGTGTTACTGAATATGTCGAAAAGATCAAAGAAAAAACAATATATATGTACATTACATATATTTTCTCACTGAATAACGCAAATGTTTAACGCCTGTCCTCTACTGACGACGACCCCTTAGGTGCTGGACGCGTCGGGGAACATGCTGACGGAACTCGAGGAGTCCACCTTCAGGCACGGCAGCAGCATGGAGCGCTTGCTTCTTCAGAACAACTGGATCACCACCATCCACCCTCGGGCTCTCGCTCCGCTCAAGAGCCTCCAGCACCTCGACCTCACCAACAACTACATCGAGGAACTGAACACCGTCGCCCTCAAGCCCGTCGAGAAGAGCCTGGTGACCCTCAAGCTCGGAGGAAACCCCTGGAACTGCGGCTGCGAAGTGAGTGAGCTGTGGTCGTGGCTGCAGGACCATCTGTCGTACATCCCGGAGCCCGAGGTCGTGAAGTGCGAACTGCCGAAGGTAAGGTTCACGTCGGGAGTGGGGTGGGGGGGGGGGGGTACACACACAAACACACACTGACACAGATTCAAGAAAAGACACGGAAGCATTAGACACAGTTTACGATATGTCACATATCGTATACTGTAAGCAAACACACACACACACACACACACACACACACACACACACACACACACACACACACACACACACACACAACACAACACACACACGCACACACACACTACACACACACACACACACACACACACACACAACACACACACACACACACACACACACACACACACACACACACACACACACACACACACACACACACACACACACACACACACACACACACACACACACACACACACACACACACACACACACACACACACACACACACACACACACACACACACACAACACACACACACACACACACACACACACACACGTGACAATATCTCATCCTACTTATTTTAAGGAGATTATCAAATGAACAATTGAGATCAAAATGAAATATACAAATGCCAATATTTACTTCCTTGATTGCTGATAAGGAATATATGATTTAGAACTGAATTTGCAATTTGGAATCAACTTCAACTTAAACGTAGACGATTCATTTTGTGAACTAGTAATTTTGGCTGTCAATAAGAATTTGATGGATAGCTTAATGAGTTAAGAATTGAAGTTATTTCCCTTGCTCTTTTGCATGTTCGTTAATTTTCATGTTTTGGCCGATATTAGTTTATCATCATTGGACATAGACATTTATTAGATATAAATCTTTAAATATATCATCTCTGCTTACCATGTGCAGCTCATTCACTAATAAACAATGATTTCCATTCTCTTCCCTTCCTCAAAAAAAAAAAAAAAAAAAAAAACACATACAAACACACACACAAACCAGGCACTGCAGGGC